TGTGAATTTCTTTTTGTTGTAGCATCCCGTTTCACAAATGGTGACAGCATGTGTTGCAGTCTGTTTTGTCTGTGCCTATCTCTAGCCCCAGTTAATTTGTAAACTAGAGCTGAGATTGATACAGACTGGGAGAAGAAAGCCAAACATGATTCTACATCAGACAGCTATCTCTGCTATCCTGGATTAGATCCTGTATGTTGCCATACCTTAAAAAAACCCATGCACTGTGGTTTGACCAGGTTGGTACTGTATTGTCATACGGCAGGAGCTAAGAACATAAAGACACTAGATTCCATTTTCTTCAGTTTCACCAATCAGATTATTTTCTGTAATATAAACAGGTGCATAATGTTTATTCAAGGTGCTGTTTTGCTGTAAATATAATTTGCATGTTGGGAACAAACAGCAGAAATAATAAAGTTCGGGGTGAGAAAAAGAGTGAATATTTCTAGTCACTATCAAAGCCTTTCTTATTTGGTAGAGATACTAAAAATATATGATCAGTGTGAGCATAATAAATCCCTAACATCCACGTTTCTGATATTGGGAATATGGTTACCTTGGCCAAAGTGCATCCGGCTGATTGTGGTCTCTATACTAGTGATGTCAATACAGGCAAACTACATAAAAACATCTCTGACTAAGCCAAGAAGGTGCCTTTCAGTGTGGAAATTTCTTGGTGACAGTTTACTCAGTTGTATGCATTCTTTACGTCAGCACAAGAAAGTCACAGAATAACGATGACTTGGGTTTGCTGTCTCCTTCTCTCCTTTAATTTCTGGTTTTCTCTACCTTTCTGATTCTGCCTCTCCTTCTCTCATCATATGGGGATACCTCCCTTCCTGAGCCTCTTTCTATGTATACTGGCTGTGTATCCTGTTCTGCCTTTGTTTCTCTATCTCTGTCTCTTTCTCATACCACCTTTGTAAGCCCTAGCTTCTCTTAACTGACAGAAAGTACTCCTTCTTGCACCAGTGGAGCTGGGCCGTGATATTGTATTGCAGAGTAAAGGAGAGGATGTGGATTCACATTGCAAACACCCTCTCCCATGCTTCCTGTTCTCCAGTTTTTCCTGTCTTGTTCCCCTCCCTCCTTTCTATCACACTTTCCTTTTTTCTAGTCTTTTGCCTTGCCTGGTAGGAGCCCATCACGTACTCGAGCCAGCTGCTTCCATGGGCGACGGAGTAGTGCCATTGGCATTGAGAACATACAGGAGGAAAAGAGGTATGAGCTGTGAGAAGATGAGACAAAGGGAGAAAAAAACAGGAGGAGGTGAGAAAAGGGAGACAGAAAGGCATATATAAGGACAGAAGGGGAATCAACATGAATGAGAACTGAAATGGAAATGGTTGGAATGGGAAGAAAAGCCTGATTATCAGCTAATGGACAAATGACAGGAACAAACAAAAAAAGCATACTTGGAAATGGAGAGAATCAATATTTAAGAAGGGAGGAGATAGGTGGAGGAACATAGTAAGATCGCTCTTAAACATTGTGCAGTATGATGCAGGTCTCTTGGTTCTCCTGTTCTGTATTCACTACTTTTAGGTAAGAATTAGATGAAAGGCTTTTACTGGGGAAGGGGGAATTGAGCGCTTGATTTTTTTTGTTTGTTTTTGTTTATTTTCATGTTAAAAAGTTCAAATAGATGAAAATTCTGATCTCTTAAAGAAAAGATTTTTTTAAAAAAACGTTAAGTCAAAACAACTAGCATTGAATTTGGATGGTCTGAGAAATAATTAGAATTAAGATGTAACATACAGGTTCAAGGAGTGATTTGGTATGTTTGGTAAGAATTATAACCATTCAAAAGTTGTCTACTGGTCATGAGAGCTTATTTAGTTAAATCAATAAATTTGTCTCAGCTCTTGATAAGACACCTTTTTAAGATTATACAGAGTCTCAAAAGTCACATAAGTGCTCTGCATCTAATATACAGTTTTCCCAATTGCGAGAATTCCAGGCAACAGCTTAAGGACTCTGTAAAAGGGGAAAAGCCATCTTTAATGTGGAAACTAGTGAT